AAAAAAAAAGGGCCTGCTTTTCTTGTAAATAGGTGAGGCACTCGCTGGTTCGGCCAGATCAGCTTTCCCCTTAATTTTCGGTCAGCGAAAAACGGGCTTGCAATAAAAACGAAATTATCAGCTTATTGGCTAAATGTACAACGACTGAAATACTTCAAAGACTGTGCATTTAAATAGCTATCGTTCATACTTATTTTTACTGTACTGACCTCATTTGCAAATGAGAAAAACACGTTCCCGATGGGCGAATATCTGAAAGACTGCAGTCAATACCTCTCCACTGCAAATGAGCCGAAAACGCTGACAACAAAAAGACAAACAAGTTAGTATCTTATTTCACCAAATAACATGAGATCGAAAAAGCACTGGAATCAATAAAAGTGGTATGAGAACTGCAACTCACCCTTTAGTTCAACTTGTTCTTAGCTGTACTTGATCACTGCTGCCATAAGCATTTCACTTGCAGCAAAATTTACGCTCTCGTTTATCAGTTGATGTGAAGTGTTAGACCGTTCTGCTGAAAATGCGACCGTGTGGAATGCGTCTTGCAATTAGTCGGTAATTTTCTGCTGCACATAAGCCTCATTTTCTTTATTGTTTGCTGGTTTCCTGTCGCTACTAAAACAGAAAGCGGACAGCCATGGAGAATATGGCTCTCGTTTTGTAACTTCCCAGAGAAAATATGAACAATAAAACATGTGGGGCTTGTTTTATTTTACCAAACAGTAGCATTATTTTTCTGTAAGTTTAACCAGTTTCATTTTCAGAAGGACCACGACTCTTAGTATTGCCTTAAAATCCATCGTTATACATTAGTAACGTTTTAATTTGCGCCCTATGATATGTTATAACCACGTTTTAAAAGAGGAGGGCTTGTCTTTTCGAATTGACGACAGTTATTTGAAAGCAATACCAAAAACAAAATAAACAATATCGTCCTTTTGGAACGAAGTGATTAACAAAATTCATCACCAACAATCTAGCATGTGACCTACGCTTTCCTGGCAGACTTTTCTGTACGTTTAGCCTGTAATTCTTGCCGATTTTATTCTGACAATTATTTCGGTAGCTTCTGTGCATATCTAGTTTCAAACCTTTTGACTAGAATTACAATTGACCCATACCAATTTTTTAAAAAAATCATGAGGGATTTCATAAAAAACATGGCCGAGGATTTTCTGAAAAGTGTTTTCAAGATTTTAAAACAATAAAAATACAAGCAACAGAAGTTTCACCTTGATCAAAGTGACAATATACTTGAGACTCAGATCTGATATATTATTAACATGAAGAGGATATTCTTACTTAGTTACTGCAATAAAGATAATCGATCTGATATGTTTTATTGGGTCGTAGTGTAGAGTCGAGTATCACAGCGAAAGATTCACTCTAGTGTACCTAGTTTCAGGAATTCGGTGTTAAACAGATGTTCAATTATCATGACAACGCCTCCGCTTAACAGCTTTCTTAAGGTAAAAAATCTTGAATTTACACGTAGATTTTTAACAAACTACTAATTAGGCATGTCTACATTAAAAAATATTGATTCACTTTCGTATACGTAGTTGCACATTGCAAATAATAACGAACGTAAACCTTCTCATGTCAGGAATTCGGTGTTAAACAGATGTTCAATTATCATGACAACGCCTTTGCCAAAATGGAATCCAACCTCGTCACCAGGGCGCTTTTCCCTGGCTTAGACCAAATGGTTCAATAAAGAGGGTTTCTTTAACTGAGAAGTTTATGATCTGCCTATTTAACAATTAATGAATACGGCTTTCTTATCTTATGAAGAATTACGGAGATCGAGGAGGGTGTACGGCCTCGACGGATAACACCCTCCGAGATCTCCATAATTCTTCATATGATAAGAAAGCCGAATTCAATAATTGTTTTATTATTCATTCAAAATAATTCCTAGTTTAAAAACATGGCTAAAACTAGCCCCTTTAACTGAGCCGAGTTAACTACAGTGGGACCCTGTTAATATGGTGTAGAAGGGCTCACAGAATAATCGTCTCGGACACATATTTTGTCCATGAAAGGACTACTTAGAAGTGTACAGATTGGTTTCTAACGTCTCAACTATAACCAAAGGTCATTCCTCTGAAAGAGAACCTGCAATGGGATAGCCTGCAAAAGTAGACGTATTTCCGGCCCTCACTTGGACAATGCGTCAGGATTCGCAGGCTAGCAGTGAGACTTTTGTCAAACTTTACGGATTTGTTATTTATGGTATATTACGGGGACTTAACTTTGAAATAAAAACGGAGGGTCCCCATACTAGTTTAGGAGCAGCAGTACCTTGTGTACACGAAATAATTCCTTACAATATCAATATGATTATATTTAAGAGTACATGCTCTAAACACGTTTCCGACCATTGTTTCTTTTTCCGCACTGGGAATTGGTGTATATTCATTCTACAGAAAAAAATGATAACCGCACCCGTTTAAGAGCAAATGACGTTTTACCTCTCTGGGGAGCTCCAGCCTTAGGACAAAAGCCGCCATGATGTGCACGCACTAATCGCAAAAGAAATTATGCACAGTAAGGATGCGCAATGCAATACTAAGGAATAACCTTAAGCATAAACTGAAGAAACCTTGATTAGCTTACTCAAATAGCTTCTGCTTTTTGCTGGCGGAGGCGATTATTGTTGGGTGAAATGATGAACGAAATAAAAGTATAGTTTCACACTGAAATGACATGCTTGATCAGTGTTTGAACGTGGCATCATCATAATTTAAACTGGTCCACAACTTTGCTTTTAAACTGTCACTTTCAAGTTGTGGTTCAGTCAAATGGACCTAGTATTAAAAAACCTTTAAAGGACTTTTAACCTCTTCTGTTAGGTTCTCACTGACACACCATGAGCGCACATAATTAAGTATTTGCATTCATAATATAGCAGTGGTTAGCAACCCCCCCGGGGGGGGGGGGTAATTCCTAGTAGTAGGCTAATGAGAATGTGTGCCGCTGGATGGTGTCGCATTTTCACGACTGGATTGACTATAATGGGGTCGCATTTTCAATAGAGTCACTAGAATGGGGTCGCACATTTTCGGATTTTCGGGGACGAGACAGTTCTTCACATTTACGGTTAGCAGAGACCAGAATGTTTGCACTGTAAGTGA